AGATTGCCAGTATATGACTTCCTATTCAAGTACAATAGTAACTATATGGACCTATCTCTGCCAATTTTGGAGATAAAAGGGAACCAAAATTTGCAAAGTTCAATTCATGATAAAAAGTAGGTCAAAGGTCAATTTCAAGGTCACATTTAGATTGCCAGTATATGACTTCCTATTCAAGTTCAATAGTAACTATGGACCTATCTCTGCCAGTTTTGGAGATATAAGAGATTAAATGTTATAATTTTGGAGTTACAATAATGTGCCATAAATTTCCTACAGAAAAAATTTATTAAAATAAACAAAAGGTCATTTTGGTTGAAATTCTTGAAATGGGAGGTGCTCAGTAGTTCCAGATGTTCAAATTTCATGAAATAATGTCATTTTTGACCAAAAGTTGTCTGCCTCACCAAGCCTTATGTTTTATTTTCCCGGGGTTCAAAATTTATTATCCATTACCGTACAGCACATTTTGCTTTCACCACCAATATGTACTTTTTGATACAGCGTAACTCAAAAACCGTATGGAATACAAAAAAATGGAGACCACATCAGTGTTGGGCTTTACATGCTCTACAAAATGCAAAAAAGGATTGGGTCTCTAGCATTAATGGTTCCCGAATTAGAGACAGTTTTTAGTTTCAGTATCTTATGGCCGCTACTCTGGTGAAAATGCACCGATTGACCCAAAATTAACGGAGATGAAAGATGACCCGAAGGGTAACACTTTCCAATAATATTATTGGTTAAGTCTGTGTAGTGTCTGAATAACAGCGCAAATAATTTTTTTTCATAAAAAATTTCATTTTTTTGAAAATTTGGGCCCGTTTGACCTTGAAATAAAGGTCAAAGGTCAAATCCAAGGGCATATTTGAAATCTAGACATATGACTTTTGGAAAGCTGTCTGTAGAAATTTTTCCCATAATTCCTTCCGTAGGGTAGATAATTAGCATTTAATTTTGCCATTTTTGGACAAGGGTGGACAAGGGTGTCCAAAATTATGCAGTTTTAAGGTTAAAACCTTCAAACCAACTGCTATCTACACCTAATCAAGAATATAGAGTTACAGTTGAAAAACTACTTCGGGTTCTTCAACAGATAAACATGGCACCTTAAAACACTGACAGCTTTACCTGTTATTGCTATGTTGATCACCGTAGTCCCTTATTATATGCCACATATTAAAGATTTATACATAAATAAGAAATTGAAAGAAAAACTCAAAAAAGGTGATATGATGTACTACAGCAAACTGTCTTCCTTCATGACCTTACCTCATAGCCTTCTCTGAGGTTGTAAGTTAGGTCATGCTGCAGATCATTGGTGAAACTCTCAGCAAACTCTGGGTAAAGCATCAGTACTTCCAGTAGTCCCTTAATACATATGCACTGCAGATCACAGTAGGTCAGAGAGCGGACATCACAGCTGGATTTGTTGACCATGTCCTCAAAGTCAATGTCACAGCCAAACAGGTCCCCCTTGCCTGCAAACAAATATGCAATATAACATGGTTAAAAAATTGAACACAATATGTTATCCCCCCTCCCAAAGAAAAAAAGTAAACTGTGTTTATCATAAAATGATATACGGTAAAGTCTTGAAAATTTCGTCGCTTAAAAATTAATTAATATTTTTAATTAAGTAAATCCGACTAATTTTTCAAAATTACCTCTCCCCGACTCCTGGGTATGACGAAATTTTCAAAAATCCGGCCTTTGGGCTTTTATCCTTAGCGACTGTTATCTTTGACCCTCCTATATGGTGGGATATTTATTACTACTTCCTAAGTCATTTTCTGGTGGTGAATAATAATCTATTTATTAGTGCATCTCGATTAAGTTATATTTAACTTACTTTACCCGGAAACATGTTGAGAATTATTTTCTCGGTAAGAAACATATACCTCCTGATAGAGGAGAAGGATCAAGAAAAGCCTAATTGCAACCTTGCATCATAACCTGGACGCGACATGTTAAAAAAATTACGCACATGGGAACGTTTGTTGCATGCAGGGCTTTTCCCAGGATTGAGTGTCAGGCCTTCTAAAAATACCATCTGTAACTTCCTAAAAATTTACAGGGAGTTAAAATAATGATCTCCCGTTGACGATATTCTGNCCAATATGTACTTTTTGATACAGCGTAACTCGAAAACCGTATGGAATACAAAAAAATGGAGACCACCTTCAGTGTTGGGCTTAACATGCTCTACAAAATGCAAAAAAGGATTGGGTCTCTAGCATTAATGGTTCCCGAATTAGAGACAGTTTTTAGTTTCAGTATCTTATGGCCGCTACTCTGGTGAAAATGCACCGATTGACCCAAAATTAACGGAGATGAAAGATGACCCGAAGGGTAACACTTTCCAATAATATTATTGGTTAAGTCTGTGTAGTGTCTGAATAACAGCGCAAATAATTTTTTTTCATAAAAAATGTCATTTTTTTGAAAATATTGGCCCGTTTGACCTTGAAATAAAGGTCAAAGGTCAAATCCAAGGGCATATTTGAAATCTAGACTTATGACTTTTGGAAAGCTGTCTGTAGAAATTTTTCCCATAATTCCTTCCGTAGGGTAGATAATTAGCATTTAATTTTGCCATTTTTGGACAAGGGTGGACAAGGGTGTCCAAAATTATGCAGTTTTAAGGTTAAAACCTTCAAACCAACTGCTATCTACACCTAATCAAGAATATAGAGTTACAGTTGAAAAACTACTTCGGGTTCTTCAACAGATAAACATGGCACCTTAAAACACTGACAGCTTTACCTGTTATTGCTATGTTGATCACCGTAGTCCCTTATTATATGCCACATATTAAAGATTTATACATAAATAAGAAATTGAAAGAAAAACTCAAAAAAGGTGATATAATGTACTACAGCAAACTGTCTTCCTTCATGACCTTACCTCATAGCCTTCTCTGAGGTTGTAAGTTAGGTCATGCTGCAGATCATTGGTGAAACTCTCAGCAAACTCTGGGTAAAGCATCAGTACTTCCAGTAGTCCCTTAATACATATGCACTGCAGATCACAGTAGGTCAGAGAGCGGACATCACAGCTGGATTTGTTGACCATGTCCTCAAAGTCAATGTCACAGCCAAACAGGTCCCCCTTGCCTGCAAACAAATATGCAATATAACATGGTTAAAAAATTGAACACAATATGTTATCCCCCCTCCCAAAGAAAAAAAGTAAACTGTGTTTATCATAAAATGATATATGCTTAAGCAAAACTTGATTCTTTATTGGGTCTTTTTGTGCAAAAAGCTTTTGGACAAGTATTGTACTATTTTTTGATTTGTGCTGCTGTTATGTTGATAATCTGGAACTTAAGCCTTTGATGCAATTAATATGAGACTGATTTATCAATTAAAATTGATTGGGTACAGAATGTTTATATTATTAGTAAAACTGAAAGGATCCAGATACCTCAATAAATCTTGCACCAAGCATAAACAAAAAAGGAAACAATATCTGCTGTGCATTAAGTATACACTAATAGCCCATTTTGGATCCTAGTCATGAAACTTCCCTATCATATGTGTTATATGGCCATAAAAATGCATGACACGATACATCAACCAGGGCACAAATTGACTTCAAATGTGTTGGCGATCGCAACCTAAGAATGGAGACAATTATTTCCTGTCTGGGAAGCATCATTACTTGGAATGTAATCGGCATCATCATCCTAAAGGCCAATCAATTATACTTAAGAAATGTTTGTTACCCACAAAAAAGTGTAATAACAGTCTCTATCAAGGCATAAGATAGCAGATAAAAAGTGAATTATTACAATTCACATACTCTTGTAATATGTGTCCCTGCAATATAATAAATGCTATGTGATGCTAACAAGAAAGATATTTTCACTGTCGCCTGCTTATCTGCAAAAAGCTGTGAAACCAAGGGTCCTCAGATTTTCATTTGAATGACCTTAGACCTGTAGGCGTCTGTTCAGAACCAGTTGATCCCCAGACTAACTCATTTCCAGATAAAATTGAAATATGGTGAGACCCACTTGAAAGCATGCCGAGATTTCATTGCTCCGTCCCTGCAGGGCAGCACATGTGGGAGGCAGGAATCCATTGTCACGTATGTGTCACATTTGATCCACAGACTAGTTTGTTCTGAACAGGCTTTAAGTCAATAGCATTTTGAACATCATTCCTCCATTCAAAATGGTGTTCATGCCTCTTACCAAAGATATCGAAAAAGATTCATTTTTTCCAAGATCATTTAATATGCTACACATACAGTCAATACAATTATTTGCCTCATTAAAATGAGCAATTTCCATATAAATTATGTATTCCAATCATCCAAAACAATGCACAAGCCTCTGCAGGAACAAATCTTTGATGTATCTCCATATAACTCCTGTTTCACTACAGTTCTGCATTGTTTCACTTTTTCAAATACAATGCACCAATTTACAGTAAATTTTGTTCACAATTGTATCATATCATGAGATACCTGGACATTCACAGTAGGGCAATTAGTGCAGACTGCTCTAACCGCACAATGGTTTTATCTGCAAGGTAACCCCCAGATAAAAAGTGCAAAACAAGTAATAACTAATGGTTTTACCCAGAAAGATCAACATTAGCCTTTTCATTAAAACTGATAATCAATGGGGTATGGACTAAAACAATATGTTGTATAAATATCTACAATGCTTTCAACATGAATCTTTGCATTTTTTCTTTAACAGGAGATATCATTTGCCACGATAAAAGCTAGGCTAGGCTTTTTCATAACACTGATCAATTGCAATGGTAATTTTTATACTGAATGACAATGATCAACTATTGGAAGTGATGTCCTTGTGAACACTTACATGTATATATAAGCCTTTTGCATAATCTAGGGTCCAACATCATTTAAGTTGGAATGAGACAATGAATGTTATTGTGTGCCGTTAGAAATCATGAAAGACGCGTAATCTGATACCTGCTGTAAAAAATATGACCAAAACCAAACTTAATTACTGAACAGTGTTTTGATCAAGGTGCCAACTACACAAGTGAAACAAGTTCAGTGGTTTAATTTTTTGCACTGACAGGTATGGGATCATCACTTTCACATTTGTATTTTGTGGTTATCAAAGGAATGATATAACGTGGAACATTTTTGTAATACTGTAATGACTCAATCTTTTTAATGGAGAAATTAAAAACTTTTCAGATACTGTACTTTTTAAGTCATAATTCTTAAAATTAGAACATTCCAATTGAGTGGTAGCAACAAAATTGAAAAGAATGCTACCTTATAGCCCTATTCTGTACAGTAAAAGCACCATAACTGCTAAACAAATATATATTTTTAATGCTTCCAAAATAACACATCTAGAAGATTGAGAATTTTTCCCTATTGAAAAGAACAAGTCATTACGGTATATGGTAGTCTTCATTTGATCATTGAAATGAGTATCATGTATCACAATTGTGATTTGTGGCACTATATGGAAAATGATAATTTAATCGAAGTTATCAGAAAAATGCAGCAAGTGAGAAATTTCATTTGAAGGATTTCTTGAGTAAGCATGGAAGCCATCCAATGAAGGGAATGTCTCAATTGTAAAATAATGTTTTTACAAAAATATAAGAGTAAATTTCAAGACACTGCCTGTAAAGTAAAAATGAATTTGTAGTAAATTAATATCCTTTGATGAATTTTAAGTGCTTGTCATGTGAAAAGGCCATGTTGTATTCTTGTTCTGAAAACAAATCAGTCTAATGCTTTCAAAAGGTATACATATTTACTGCATTGTCATGTTAGTCCATAGCTAGTATGTGATAAAGTACTGAACTAAAATGTGTCAACTGACTACAATCTACTCACACAATAAAATCTCTTCACTGCCTTGGCAGTCATAGCTAGCTACACAGAGTTCAAGTTCCATCTTGACTTAGTGAGAAAAAAATTTAGTAGGCCAAAATTATTTATCCAGATATATCTACCATCACAAGCAATCATAAACTGAAGGCCCACAATAACATATTTCACTTCCCACCTAAAATGGCCACCACCATGTCATCTTTCAGAATCTCCATGGAACCACTGCACAGGTAGTAGATATAGTTGATGGCATCTCCCTTGTGAGCAAGGTATTCCCCTGGTGCACAGAAACTTGTCTTAATCTGCAAGGAGACAGACTTCACACAACCCTGACTGGCAGTCTCAAATATAGGCAAGCTGAGGATATCCCTGTAGAGGTGCATTGAAATGTCCCCTCGCAACTCTTCTGGGAAATCTTTCAAAATCTGAAAGAATAAGATCGATTGATGTGACATATGGTCTTACAAGGACTGTCAAAGCTTAAGACAATACATCAGCGTTGACACTGTTGTTTCCATATACATATGGGCAAATAGGAATGATCCTTGCATTTGTAGAAGTTGTAACTAGTTTCTTTTAAAACTCTGAACAATAATTCCTCTACTCACAAATAGTGTATGGGGTTCCAGATATCATGCATCTGGATATCACAAAACATCAATGAATATATACACATAGCTCCACTTAGAAATGATATATCTGAAGTTAACTGTGCCACATATACTGCATATTTTAGTCAGGGAGAAAATGTGGATAAGCTGGTTAAAAAGGATTTCAAAAAGCCCCTGTATATCCTTTCTTAAACCATGGAGAAAACCATGACATATAATACATCTGATTTTTGGATTCTTAATTTCCAATTATTCATCAAGCATTAAAGTCACCAGTCTCCATCTTCATGATAAGTACAAAAAAGAAAAAAAAAAGTAGAAAATTCAGGCCCAAAAATAGAGTGTAATTTAATGAACAATTTTTGATATATGGTATACGGATTTGGTTGAAAGCTCAAAAGCAATTACATTTATATATAGATAAATAGATAGATAGAGGTCTAACTCTAATTGTGTGCTTACTAGAACATATAGTAATGTTCATGTCATTTCTCTTCACCTTGGGAGAAAACCTTTCAAATTTTACAAAGGACCAAAAGATGTCACTAATGGTGAAATACATGGAATGGATGCCACTGAATACAATCACGATACCACATCATGTCAGATATGGGTTCAAGGTTTTTATGGATAAACCAGGCAAGCAAAATATGTCAGAACCATTCATGAACTACATATATGAATTAAACTGACGGAAAACGCCTGTGATGTTATGACAACCAATTTCATGGTTCAAGACTGTGTGCATAAAACACTTGACTCCCATCTGGCTTGGTATTCTCCATGTCAACCACTTTGTTTCCAAGAACTAAGCACAGATACACACAGAAACACTTTGTGTTAGTCACTCAAATTTTTTATCCAGGACCGTAGATCATTTCCTTTTTTTATGCACTTAGTGACAATGCTGTAAGAACACCACAAATGCATTAAAAGAAACATTATATATTAAGCTTAAATACAATTGAAAAATGGTGTTAGTATTCAAAAATTTAATCATACCTGGATGAAGAGATGAAGAAAAATATGGTTCATGGATGTATGATGATTTGAGGCATTTTCTGCCCTACAGCCATACAACACTACCAAAACACTTTATACAACATATGATATATACTCCACAGAATTTTACATCTCAAAGTATCATTTACATTTTTCATTAATGACATTTTTTTGTATCTTTTTGCTTGTTTGGTACATATAAAACTTTAAAAAATTAAAACATTTTCTCATAATCATCCTTAAAAGTGGATGTCATTAATACTGAAGGGCAGCTGTTTAATCAAGATTGCGATACTTATATCTTCCAGGTATAATTAACAAAGAAAGCAATAACACACATCTCAATTCTAAACTCAACCCCAACTTAAAGGTCACTGGGTCCCAATCTACCTTATAATGTGTAGTGTTAATATAGACTTGATGGAAGAAAATGATCACAGCATGTCTGAGGAAATACGCCAGCAAATAGATGTTCCACTTAATTTCCCAATCTCCTAAGGCTCTCACAGCTAACCACATCTACTAAGAGCCCCTTTCAAGGCCTTGGCCTTATACATTTTAACTACTAGATATAGCTGACATGTACATTTTGTCAAATGTTTGAAAGTGATTATAATTGGATTAAAAGTTATAATCTAACTTTCAGCTTGATATCAGTTTCACTGAACAAGCCAACTATGTAAAGCTGACATATATATGGATAAACAACCTTTATCAGTGAAAACATCGAAAATTGACAAAGTAATACCACAATATACAAATTTATGGGACCTAACAATTAACCAAAATCATTGAAATAAATATTGAAAGAAAAAGCACTAATCCTATCAGGCAAGTTTTCAAACTCCGGCTGATTTTGAACTCATGCTGTATGTAGTCCTGTGCACCAGTTTTGTATTTGAACATAATAAGTACCATGGCTTTCCTTCCATTTTGTTTTGAATAAAAGTGGTATGTACAGCAATGGGGACAATAGACATAGGTGATGGCTAAATGTCAAGACATGAAAAGGCTGTCTTTAAAAATGTTTTGCCTATGATGTGCGGTAACGATATATAAAGAAAATTCATTTTGCTATTTTGACATCAGTTCACATCAATCTAACCAATATACATATAAAGAGTGTAGTTTATACAAAATCTGTTGGACTGGTTAGAGATTCAACCATAGCTTAAAATGCCTGCAAACTACCACCAAAACGAATTTCTTACTACCTTGGGTTTGAGGATGTATTAATAATTTGTCATAAAGCCAACAACGTACTTAAGTTAATACAGTTAGTAATGTCAGTTACGTAGCTATAATGGGAAACATAAGAAAGTCATCGAATATAACTAAGGCCCCATTCCCATAGTCACCATCAGTCTGTGTAGATCAGCCCAACTCTGTGGTGACTCACCAGGCCCATAGCCAGGGGGGGTTCGAAAGAACCGCCCCTTTTGCTGGGAAAAGGTCCACTCTGGGTAAAATTTTATCTTGGTGCATTAAGTTTTTATGGGAAAAGGTCCACTTTTTCAGAAAAAGAACCCCCCCTTTTAAAATTGTTGGCTACGTGCCTGCTCAGGCTGACTGCAATTAGCTTAACTGAATGACACACTTCCTCCTGGCATTAAGTAGAATATAGAAAAGCTGGTGATTAAACAAGTATATAGGAAACAAAAAACATAACATTCAGTTAAGCTAATTGCACTTAGGGCAGCCCCTGCAAAGTTGGGTCGATCCATGTAGACCGATGGTAGCTATGTGAATGGGGTCTTAGGCAATCCTATAATCTCCCTTCAAATATCAATATGATGAAATATCAAATATCAATATGATGAATTCCAAAACGTTTTCCTAGAAAAAAATGAATGCCCATCTGTATTACTAATGTTCACATAAAAGTCAAGTCTGCAAACATTTCTTTAAAAAGTCACAAATGCATTAAAACATTATTCACTGTTGATATATGTCTCAATAAAAAGTCTTAATAATCAGCTGAATTCCTTTTGCTCAATAAATCTAATAGTATTTCCATAAATCAAATCCGATTCTTATAAATTTTGTGCAAAATCTAAAAGGTCAGAAAATCAGGGATGTGAATGATTGAACTAAGAGGCATGCATCATAAAGACATTCATTTTATGTTTGCCATCTGTAGTACATAAATTCCAGTCATTTGTAACAGGAATATAAAGAACAATTGATGGGAGATTAAACTTCACATTCAGCCCATGTTAACCTCTGTATCAACTTGTCATAAATAAGGTTTTACAAGTTTCAGGAAAGGATAAATTCAAATCATATAGCAAGGGAATTTCCATCCATGTCATTAAAGTCATGATAAGTATGTTGAAAGTATTTACACAGCTAGGGGATGAATACACTTTTTCCCATGCTATACACTTACAATTTGCTTCGAATAAGCAATCTTATATTGCAAACATCTGCACAAGAATTATTATTTAACACCAATTTGTTAAAAAGCCCTTTTCTGGTATGATTTTTCTTTTTAGAGTTTTGTTACAAATAAATACAAACTGATTAATTTCAATGAGTACATGAACATAAAAAAAAAAAAAAAAAAAAAAAAAAATCCTTTTAAAACGATATTTAAAAACCAGTTAATTATAGTGCATTTACCTCAATGGGGTCTATTCCATTGTTGATAGACCAAGTGGTCTGAAAAAACTCCTGCATCCTCTGTTTTAAGGGTTTGGGAATGTGGTGGGTACAGAAGAAATCCTTGAGGTCTCGTGTTTTTGTGTGGTAGGTTTGCCGTCGTGAGTACATGCGCTGTATAATGGCAGTCACGTTACCAAACACGACAGCATGCATCAGAGCTGAAACAAGCAAATCGAACACATCGCTTTTCGTTAAAGTACGATGAAAAGAAAATATGTATTTACACACTCATACACCAAAGAACTAGTTTTACAAATTCAATATAAAAAAACAAGGCAGCAAAGCTGTCAAATGTACAGACATTAAGCAGAAAATAATAATGACAATGCACAAAATAATATAACATAATGCCTAACAGCAAAATCACCACCAATTTTAAATTGCGTACAACTGCTAATGTAGACATTCAAAAATTGTTACTTCCACAGAGCTTCAAGTTCACGGGAGTTTCAAGTCAAACCATGAAAATGCCAGTGTGCCAAACATTGAAAAAAATTCATAAACATTCACACACACACACACACACACACACACACACACACACACACACACAATAATGATAAATAAATTGGTTAAATTAAAAAAAGTCCAATAAAGCTGCTACTTGAACTTGGCTTGTATTCAAGTGGTATGAATCATTCCAGTGCATGTGCCTCCATTTATTGCATTTAACAGTGAAAAGTGCATGGAAACTGCAATGATTACAACAAAGACGACATATGAAAGTGATGGCTATATGTACAGACACACTATGTCTGTACATAATAATTCCCACGATCCTTTGTTAGCCAAATACAGAACTGCGTACTATAAAACACTGGAAGCCAACATAAAAAAGAAAAAAATATTTCACCTAGAGATATACACAGACTGTCATTTCCAAAACACTGGGAATGAAATAACATTTAAATCATTGATGTCAAAAGTGAAGCCTTGAAGGAAGACCCCACATTTCCAAGGCAAATTTCAAATATCTTGTAGCAATATATTGATCAATGCAGCAGGTGGAAACACAAGAAATCAACACTGAACAAGTCAATTAAAGGTAGACATTATCTCCAGGTGTCATCATTTTCTTCCCAATAATTGGTTCAGGTTTCACTAGAACTATTTAAAGCTTCCCATTAACTGGACTGCATGCTATAAATTTGTTAATGAAGGCAGGTTGGAAAATCTAGTACCTAGGGATTTTCTTTCAACTGAAAATCTTAAGAGGGCTAGAAAAGAAATAATATTTTTGCAGATTTAATGTTGTAATAAAAATGTATACTAAGTGTAATCTTAAAATTCATTTTCATTCTTATGAACCGTGCACAAATAATCTTACACTGCTGTTAACAAACAACCCAATCTTACCTCCAACTAACATTGCACAGATAGAGAATATTTTTTCAGCATTGGTGTTGGCTGATACATTGCCAAAGCCTACACTGGTGAGGCTGCTTGTTGTAAAATACAGTGCAGTCAAATATGAAGTGGCAACATCAGGAATATCAGACTTGTTATACACGGGCAGGTCTATCCTTTCTGTTAGCTCAAAGATCCAACCTAGGAAAAGAAGTTATTCAAATTTACAAAGGTTTTACACAAACTTAATTTTGTAAAAACATACATATTGCATCAGACTTTTTTATTTTTTTCTAATTCTTTTAAAACATTGGGTTAAGGACATTGGTACATTCATGAAGATCTTATTTCTTTGAGGCAGTATCCTTTATTTAATTTATTTATTGCCTCAGATGTGAGAGGGACAGGACCTAAAGAAATCCCATTTTACAATAAAAGTCAATAATATCCCATTACGTTCCATCCCCCTATGGATAAATGTAATCATGCTGTAAGATAGCATAAGTAAATTTAAGACAAAATTGGATAGAAGTCTGCTGGGTTTTGTTTAACATCAGAAAGAAAATGAAATAAGGTTCCATTTTCAAATATATCTATTAAGTTAGTACAAGTGGCTAATAGCCTAATAGTATTAAGTAAGAGATCTTACGTGAACTTGATCTAAAATTATCACAGAAAGCAATATTAACACTAAATTCATGTTCTTAAAATTTACTTTTAACTGACAAACATGCTTTTTTATTTTACAGAATTATAAAGCATCTCAAAATAAAATACAGATCATGCACTGCTTTAAATTTAAACTCAACAACTCCTTTTAAAAAGAGACACCACATGCATATCAAATATTTAATAAAACATCATTGTCATGTTTAAGACTTAAAATATGGACAATGACAACATAATTCATACTTTCAGAGATACTGTATGTTACAAACAACTGCACTGCTACATACTGAAGTACCAAATAATGTAAATGCAACATCATAAAATTTTTAAACATAATTTTTATTGAATACTTTACCTACAGTCCAATTGGCCCCATTTGCATTTATTTCCTCTTTTCCAATTAAATACCAAATGCATGCCAACCAATGAGCAATGAGCACATACGTAGACATGAGCAAGGCGAGTATAACAGTGCTGTATTGAGAGTATCGGTCCATTTTCTGTAGGAGGCGAGCTAACCTAAGTAATCGTGCGATTTTGAGCAAGTGGATCAGAGTTCCCTGAAAAATGCAACAAGAGCGCAAAAATTGAATACAAAAAAGTGACAAAATCCTACTTTTTTGTTTTATTGGCATGTTGATGTTAAATTTGCATGAATAAATGAATTAAAATAAAGGTGAAATGCTATAACAGACTGTGGGCATTTCTGCTAGGTGCAGATGTCAGCAAACTGAGAGCTTGCCAAGAGAGCAATCAAAACTGAAAGGCAGAAAATTCAGCATACTAAAATAGCCACCCAACATTTCATGAGATCACATTTCAATCGAGCTCACATGGATAGAACTTGATGGGAAAAAAACACATGCAAAAAAAAAAAAAAGAACTACTAAGTGCCAGAAAGATTATACAATATGCTAATCCATATGAGAAACTCTAATCAATTTCAATTCACTCAAAAAAAGAATTAATCTACAGGATTTTTTTTCATTTGGCTGCAATTTTATGCCTGCCACTTATGTAATTCCCAGGTGGGATATAAGACAAATCGGTTTTTCAACAAGGCCAGAATTTGAAATGGTTATGGATTTCCTCATTGATTTGAAGTAAAAAATTATAATAAAACTCCCAGAAAAACACTCAAAGAGTGCATACCTCTTCCAAGTAAAAAGGGAATAAAATTCATATTTAGACCTTTAACTTTTGAACTTATTTATCCAACATAGTAACCACTTGACCTTGTCTTTTTTAAATAATGCTTTATGCAAATAATTGACCAAAAAAAAAAAACAGAGAGAGAACAGACAAATATCCTACATGCAGATGTTTTTGAAACCCTGAAAGTTAATTTCACTGAAACTTTCTGTGCCGTACTGTCAAAATATTATTAATGAAATATCATTTATGGCTATCTAAGTTACGCTATCAGATCCTTATTCCTTGGTCAACATCTAGAGCTGAATCTCTCCTATGCCTTTTCAGGCTAATCCTATCATTAAAATTTAAAAAAAAAGCCAGAACAACAGAGTCGAATTGACAGACATACAAAAAACACAATAACTTATTGCCTCCACCACTTGGCAAAGGTAATAAACCAAAGTAACATCCAGGTGCAGAAAATATGTAACATCTAATGAAAATATGCATCGATTCATTTTGAATGTGAGAAGTACTCAGCCAAAAAAGGGGGCAGACATATAGAGGAAAGCATTCACCCATTATTATCTTATGTATAAGCACTGTCAATGTTAGCCCCTAAAATAATCAATCTATTTCAGCAAAGCTTCCAAGTCTCGCAATCTATACATCAGGTTTCACAAAGGTAAGAGTCCTTTACTTCACTTGAGAAAGATGTTCTGAAATGCTTTCCCCATTGCATACCAAGCCCCAAGGAAAAAAGTATCAAAATACAGATGACAGCAAGCAATCATGTCAGCAGGATTTGCAACTCAGCTCAAACATAGTAAGAATAGAGAATGATCTCTTGGTTGACTGTTGAAATTTTTTGAATGTTGCTCTACTTACAACTTGGATACCTGCTGCAGTGTCCTACAACAAATTTTATTGGCAATTCATTATTATCATGATTACATTTGATCATATTGTATTATTTTCTCTATTTAGAAAGGGTCTGTATGTGCTGTATCAGCTGCAAAAACAAAAACGTAAAAAATCTATGCGACACTGATCAAACAAAGAAAAGATAAAGCAATGGCATCAATTTGGCAAATATAAAACTTAAAATTAAAAAAAAAATGAAATTGCCTGATCTGTGAAATTTCAAATTGAGAAAAAAAAATGTATTGAACCCTGTGTGGGTAAATGTGACACTATCACCCTGCTGGTAACCAAGTTTCCACTTATCATTTGTCACCACATTTTAAGTAGTACAGAAATAATAAGGGAGTGCGTATAATACAGATGCGAGTCTGCTTATACACGGAGGCATGCAGGCACTTGCTTACATCATATCACTATAATATAACAGATAAACTGCTATTCCTAAAACCTACAAAAAACACAGCACTATTAATATATGTGGTATGAAATAGAAACTGACATGAAAAACTGAATTCAGGCTCATCTCTTGTGCAAGAAAGACACGTTGCACAAAAAGAAACACAGTCCAGCACCCATTTTTTTCACTGGAGGCAAATGAATTCATTCATTAGACCACATTATGAAGCTGCATGTATTATCAGTTAAGGTCTTTCATATGCTGTGTATTAGAATAAGACATTGATATACGTCAAAAGACAGTTATACCGATCAATCATGAAAACCAATTATTATACCTGTTGCATGAATTGATCTGTCAGATGTGTACAGAGTATATGTTGACCTAATTCTAGCAGCATGTATATATCTTGCAAGGTAGAAGAGTAAATTTCCAGTGGAAGAGAAATCTGTGTATCTACAGATGTGAGTGTAAAAATTACCTGAATGTGTGAAATGACTGAAGTGCCTTATATGTTGAATTTAATGGAAACTCCCAAGTTACAAACATGTAGATATTTGTGATGTGTTCTTTCACCTTAAAATCTCCAGATACATTACATATATCTAACAAGAGCTGCAGTCATTTCATGCAAAAACAATCATTTAGTGTGCAAATTCATGTTTCAGAATATAAATCATCCACATCTCAAGTGACATGGAATGCTTGAAAATTCATCCATTAGAAAAAATCTTCTCCATAATTTCCCCTGTCATTTTTCATTATTTATATTTCAAGAAACATAGTTTGTTCTAATTCCACCTTGCTTTTAAACTGAGTCTAATTTCTATTTGTGTGGATTTTATTTCAAAGCAAGATATGCACACTTCTCTTTTTTCGTTTTCGAATTGAGTACATAGGTGCCTATAAATCGACATCTAACCAAAGTCCATTTCTATGAATAAAGAGCACAATGCGAGCATATTCAATGATTGTTTCTTATTCTAACTGTGAAGCCATTATCTGATTCATGCCCTTGTCAATATATCAAGAGAAAACAATGCAAAACATGAAACATTGTAATCTTGAGGGTTTTATAACTGTCAAAGGATGGAACAAGATATCCATTTACAGCTGATAGACTGGGTATAGCTTACCAGTCACAAGGGTCTAATGGAAATAGACAAAGGTATTCTAGTACCCTTGATCCTGTTAGTGATATATCTCATGCATACAAAGTGAATAGGGTGTACTCCTTCAAAAGAGGCTGAAAACACAAACATTGCAAAACGATGCTTGTCTTTTTTTCACTAAAACACATTTTCACCTCCTTTCTATAACATTTCCTTCAAAGGCACAGATAAAGGATTTTTCTACCAAAATAAGGCTATACCAATTTGATAAATTGATTAACACACATGACTGACCCTAGTTTTATTTACATCAGAATTTTTTTCAAATTGTAAGTGGGAAAATTTTGCAATCAGCCACAGGAAATACGTAAATGCTGTTCAAAATCTCTGGCATTACATGAAACAAAACGAAACAAGCAAAAAAATATTGACACTTGTTAGGTGAACATCGCCAAAATAAATAATAATAATAATAAACTAATAATAAACTAGATAACTTAATTTAAAAAATTGATCATGCTGATTTGTGAAATTAAGGAACCCCTTGTTGACCAAACAATGCTACTCAGTAAATTTAAAGAAAAACAACAGCAAATGGCAGCACAGACAGACACAATGATCAGAATATAAAGTACATTTACAGTTTCTGCATATATAAAAACAGAAATAAACTTTGATTGAAAAGTCCCTTTTGCAGTTTTATTCAGGACCATACACACACACACACACATCTGCTTTCAAACTTTCGTAATTACAAGATTACATGTGCTAATCATCTTTCTACAGAGTGTATTACCTGTGAAAGAGACAATTCATGGGAACATACAAAATAAAACATTTCTCAAATGATAGAAAACGTAATTTGTCAATGCAAAAATCCATATGGAAGCTGGGGAACACCAGTTTATCATAATGAAAGGTATGAAGATGAGAAGAGATGGTGTTGGCACACAAAATAAGTTGTTGATAATGGACAGGCCTATGTTGGAAAATGTTTGTCAGCAGCTGAAGGGAGTTAAACTGCAGGAGCTACCCATTGCACACCAAGGATGGGCCATTGTATTTGTAGTATTTATTGTGGTGATTAAATAGGACTTAAAATGGTGTAGATACCCATATGGGTTAGAGGGACCTGTTTGAAACTGCTATCACAGTTCTTACCCCAAAAAACTCTGTCGTAACGTCATCGGCTCAAATTAGCAAGTTCATTTTCACATAATATTTCAATGTTTATTTCTGCATTACCTAAAGGGATAATGAAAACATCCAAACATATTTAGGCTCCTTATATATATATATATATATATATATATATATATATATATATATATATATATATATATATATATATATATATATATATATATATAATTAACAGTACTGAAAACAATCAAAATTCATTTTTATAGTGTTTTGTGCTGATATTTCGCCCTCCATGTGCATTTAAGATTTTTATATTTTCTGACATCAATCAAATCAGATCTCATCTGTTTCCTTGTGTATTTGATCAGAAGAACAAATGATAGGTGTGGCTTTTGCTAATATATCTAACTTTTATATTTAGGATTGATTTCGCTAAATGACTATTCAGTAAGATCCTGGGTTAGACCCATTTTAATCTACCGGTTTTTGAAGAGCTATTCATGGTTTTTAGATAATGGGCCATTTGTAACAACAAGCTCAAACATATTTCATCAAAAAAGTTTTGAAATTCATATTTCAGCTTTGGACAAATAGTTAATCGAACTCTTTTTTCTATGACAGGGGTAGATATATGTATGTGCACTACTTGAGTGCCCCTTTATAGTTTCATTGTGCTCCCAATAGGAAATCAATAAAATGGAAACAAACGTTTTACTGTGTTTCACAGAGGAATGTGGCCATTACACATTCAGGCTTATGGACCACTACAGAACTATTGCTTAGAGAGAAAAACAAGATGACTAAAAGCTCTTGTGTTACCACTTCCAATTTCAACAACTGATACAATAAGCATTTGAAGGAAATTAAATTACGGTTTGGCACAGCTTTTTTGTCTACATAAACAAAAAGTGATGTACGTGATTCTCTGCTACCTCTCTTCTAACAAATAGATCGTGTAAACATAATTTTGCTCTGCTCATCCATAAATAGTGTGTTATGGATTACAAATCAAATATCAAGAAGGCATTTCATAATCTTTCAATAAAATATATGTGAATGTGAAGTACAGTGTAGATGTTTTTCTATTCTTAAGGCCTAGTCCAGAGTGTAGTTTAGAGTGCATAAAATTGGCCTGAAGGAAAAGAACTGCCAAATTCTTAAATGTTTGGACAAATTTTGCTTTTTCTTGGCATCTAAACTATCATGTCCTTTCTTTGAAATATCTAAAAAAAAGTAAAATTTGCAGACTTAAATTATGTTAGATATTTAGCATGATAAAGAAATGACTATCTAATTCTTACAAATAAACTGGAATCAGAGATGATTAATATGATACACTTAATTAATACATCAGATCAAAGTAGCAGTCATCATTGATTACATAATAAATTATGCGGAAATCTGATTCTGGAGACTTTCAAATTATTAGATACATTTTTTTTAATTGTTTAAAATTAATTTAATTAATTTAATTGTACAAAGAAAATTCAATGATGTTATTGTGGCTTTGTCATATTTACTATGTGTGTGTATGTCTCTGTATGTGTGCATGTACAGGCTCACTTAGGTTAACACATACATGCAGCTTATAATTATCATTGATAAAATGTGCCCTTTTCATATTATCTTGATTGATTGTGTGAAAAAAATTGAACTTGCTTGAATGGCACCTCAATCTAGTCAGTCTTTTTTTCCCATTATTTACCATTTCCCAAAGTGGTACATACTTTATGAGCTGACTGACCTGTATCAAATGCTATCATTTGCATTCATGTATCATATGGTGTGCAAGAGACATTATATGGAAAGTGTCTATGAAAAACACCAATTTGGGAAGCTTAATTATATCTAACTTATCATGTATACTTCTGACATAATTAATAAGATTCTGTTCACCTGAGAGGAGCAAATACTGTTAATTGATTAAGCTGTTTTTTGTTTTTTTTTCACGATGAGAAGTTTACTTGATGAACTGCATGGGCACTGATGCCTTCCTTATTCACAACATGGCTGAAGCTTTCATGTAAAACTAGGACTACTTAACTCAGAAGACTACTAGTACACAAAACCTACTATTAAATACCACTACAAGCATGACTGGCTCATGATAAATGTATGATTATAATCTATCAAACATAAGTTGTCTTAATTCCAAAAGTAGCCTTTGTCACCATGGTATTAGGATGAGACCAATTCTCATTTACATTAATTTTTCATAATCGGATGAAATATTAAACAGATATCATCCTTATCACATTCTACAGAAGATTTATGTTGATATCTATTGATCTTTTACACTGTCAATGTCACATACAGATCAAATTGGGAGTTTACAATGGGCAGTCCACTAGAGAGTTAATAAGTACAATATGCATATAAAGAAAGTAAAATAAAATTTCTGGAATGCAAAATAAAATTTCTGGTATTAAAATGATAAATGTCTTGATCAAAATGCTTCCGAATATGATATGAAGTGTATTATAGATCTGAGCTTAAGTTGCTTTGACTCTCAGTTGCTGTTTCAATGGGTGGTTATATATAGGCATCTAAGGCTGCTAATATTCTTAGCATGTGTAATTAGCTAAGACTGACTTACAAAACATTCCGAAATAGGGGGCTAATACAGAACTGAACTTTTCAACCAACTAAATAAAACATATTGAACCTATCTGCAATTTTTATCCTGATATTTGATATCTTCTGATATGTTCATTCTCAATGATATCTCAGTGTTGAGCTACATGAAGGAAATGATTGGCAAAATTCAAATTGCAATGCTCTGGAAAAGATGCTGCTGCCTCAGGCAAATGACAATGTGTATGTCTATAAGCAGAAAACCTTCACGGAAAAAACAGTATTAACATCTAGAAGGTAAATGCATAAAAAAGCTTGATCCACAATGAATCAGACATGAAATTGAAGGTTGCACAAGTGTAAGAGAAAGTGTGACAACAAAAAATAAAAAATAGCTTCATGCACAGCCTGGAGGTATTAAACTCAACAGCTCTGACAAAAAATGAGGAATATATACCAGATCAAATACAATTTAAAAAATGAGATGGAGAAATGTTGCTTTGAAAAAATGCTCAAATGACTGCAAATTGTGCTCACACCACCTGGCACTCTAACCCATTATCATCTGAAGGTAATATCTACAATGTACTGTCAGCTTGAATGAGGTGTGTTAATAAGGTGTAATAGATATGCTGAGGCTATGTTCCAACATTTCAAATATAAGGGTCTATTCACATAAGCCACCATCTTGAACACTTAATTTTTTTACTTTTTGTTAGTTCTGCATGAATTTGTGGACACTTTGGCTGCCGAACAATTAGAGACAAGCACAAGTAGCTTTGGTTATAAAAGTTGATTTCAGTCAGTGGAGGTTGACTGCTTGACCATATGCTGTGGACCTAGCATTTGGTAAAGCAATCACCAACTCCTTAAGTAGACAGCTACACTAAAGTGGTTCAAGATCCACTTCTGAGTTGTTATTAAGAGCAATTCATGTAATTTCCCCCTGTGGCATTCAGGTTGTAATTGGTTCCCAAGTTCTGGTGTCAATGAATACTTACCGTATCCACTTGTAACATGTACAGTAAGTCAAAGGGAATTGCTGCTAGTAGGTCCAGTACAAACCAGCCTTTGATATAGTTGATGGCAATCATCTTGGGATCATATATGACTTGCCCACTACTACTAACATATGTAGTTCTAAAATTTAAAACAATATCTGGAAGAAAAAAAAAAACAAAGTACATGAGAAAAAAAAAGCTGCAAACAAACAATGCAAAATATGGCAAAAATTTTTATTCAACTTCTTTTCTTAAGCATGTTTAAATCTTGATTTAAGCTAGTTGACTATCATAAAATATAATCTATATGGGAAACTGATTTACATTAACTATGTGCTAGATGCATATTTACCATATGTTAAAAGAGTAGGCTCTTGAGAAACCCCTAACCTTAACAGACTTTTCTTTATGTATGAATCAACAGAAAATTCATTTTAAAATTCATTTTAAAATTCAAAACATCATTTTTATCTGATATCTTGGAAAGTTATCGTTCAAACAAAACGGAAAAAAATTTACAGCTAAAACCAAAACTTAGTCCAACAGAATAAGAGGACATTGTGACTTACCTATAATAAATAACATTTCTACTATCACATCTGCGACAAGAGACTTCCGCTCCCCATCTTCTTGGGTTGCCACAAAACATGCATTAAACGGGACAATAACTGCGATGTAAAATGTACAGAGAAGAATAAGCCAGTCCCATGCTATCTTGAAGATACTGTAGTGGAGAAGAATGAGTCGGGGTCGGTGGGCTTCTTGTACTTTGTATTCAGGAAGAGTTTTTTTACCAGAAAGGTTTTGGAGCTGAAAACAACAGATAAGCAAACATTGGTATTTAAAGTCATTTGGACAGTCCAGTTCAATGTAGATCTGATCCCTAGCTAAAATAGTAAAGCTACAGATAATCAAGTGAAAACTGGTCACATTGCAGTACTTTTTCCTCTGTAACAACATTTATTTCCTCTCTGTAAAGAATTCCTTTAGTCTGAGAGAGAAAGAAAATGTACCAATGCTTCATTCTTTTCATTCCACACATCCCGCCTTTTTTGTTGGGGCATAAAAATATTCTCTTAGAAGTTAAAAAAGATAAATCTATTTAACTAATTCAACTGAACTTTTTGATCTATTTTATGAGTCATTTTACATGAATGAACAGAGAACACATCTTCCACGAAAAAATTTTTACACAATGTAGACAGAGTCCGAGTGAAAAATACTGCATTAAAGGAAGAAATCTACATCATTCAGGGATCAGATTGTCATTTAGTGAAAAAGTTGGAAAATAGTGGCGTGGGGTCAAGGAGCTCCCAAAAAGTTGGAAATCTGATATTAGTCAGAAAAATCTCATCCCTGATCAGTGCCCTTTAAGGTTTAATATACAGTCTCTTTAGCCTATATTTCATTCTAATCTTCTTTAAGCCATAGAGGATTTGTTAAGTTATTTGAATGGAAAGAAAAATGGCCAAATAGAATATGGTTGGTAAATTTTAGTCCAACATATGGCAGCCTGCCGAGGGTCATATCATGGTTAGCCTTTTCGATTTGCTGTAACTGGTTCTATTCATCTTTTCATTTTTTGAATGAACAATTCTATTTTTCATTTACAGACAGCCAGTCTGGCTACTAGTTCTCATGAATGACTACAGCAGACAAAATCCCATAAGTCTGATGGTCTCATAAATGTTGAAAATGAAGCATAACTCCCAGGTGCATTGACTGAAAAGCTGACAATTCTATATATTGATAAACCTTGGTCAAAATCAATGAATTGCATCTATTCACTTAGGAAAGGCCTGTTGCTTCTAATATATCAACAGTATTTTTTATCAAGGAAATCTCAAGCAGGGGTCATCCTGTTTACTTAAACTAGATGGTCAGTCGTCTCATTGTATTATCACAACATGGATTTCTCAATCATAATTGCATTTGTATCAATTAAGTGTCATTTCTCCTATGATGAAACATCACTCTCTATCTTCATTTCAGTCAAAAAAGAAAGGCAAACAAAAATGCATTTGGTCATGTATGCACTGATCAAATGATACATTCATTTTCCAGGTATTCACATTAATCACACTTTCTATCTGATCAGCAGACTCATCCTCAACCTGGACACTTATGAAAACAGACAGTTAAGTTAGTTGTCAGAGAAAAATGCTACGCCAGGAACTAACCAAATTAATTCACAGTAGGCTACATCTATTAACCATATCATTTACATGCATATGTCATACAGTGTCACATGAAACAAACCTAGCTACCATTTCCAAGAAAACTCTTGTATCACAATACTTTTTAGGCTTGCTTGGCTATAACTGGCCAATCGGAATATAAATGGGATAAATATGAGACTTCATGAACAACGCAGGCCTAAAATGTTTATAAACAAAGCTAGCAGATATATTGATCCTCAGCAAAAAAAAACTAGGTACCAAATAAAATATATCTTAAATAAAATTGTGTTTGTGTCTTGCTCTATGTCTTTTTGGCTCAATTATATAATAAAACTTCACAATTTTGGCCATCTGATGTTGAACATATTTTAAAAGCGATAAAATTTATATCCTTGAATAAGCCCTTATTTTGCTTATGGATATTCAATTCTTACATGCAATGTATTAAACGTATTTGCCAATTTCCAATAACATTTAAGCATACTATCCAACTATTTCAGAGAAGACAGGGAAAAGATAGTGAAGCCAAAACTGCTTCATAAATAGGCATTGACAATTTTATGGCCCTAATAATTCATCAGAATGATAGAAGTCACTTTCATGAACAGATGAACATTTTTTTGTCTCCTCCAGACCAAATTAAAACAAACATTTACACTATCATCCATACCAAGTAAACAAACAACAGTATTGTTTGTTCTAGATTTGGCCATTCAAGGCCCTTTCATTATATAACCCCACTAATGAATTGTCTTGAAAAATTAATTTGACATTGCGACTAATTATTGCTAGAATTAAGTATTACGACTTCAACAATTAAAATAGATATCAAATGTTCAGTACGACAGATTAACCAAAATATTTTGCTTTAATCAGTTAGCACAGGTTATTATCATTATTATTTACAGACAATTCTGCATCTATTTCATTTGTGTGCCATTACACATACATGGGTACTTGGCTGTACATGTGTAAGGTGAGACTTTGTTAAGAACAGCCAGCAAGCTGCCAGTAAGCTTCTTTCCTAACTGATCTTTCCTAACTGAATATAAAAAAAGCAAAGGTATGTTTACTAAGTAGTTACAAGCTTACCTTATTTAACTGGAGTTTGGACTTGTTTGGTTTCTGGAACTGTCCTGAGAGGTGATAAAGCACAGCCCGACTTCTTCGCCGCTGGTATTTGATGTCATTGTTGGAAGATTCAAGTAGATCGGGGTCATGGGTGGGACTGTCCCCTTGGACAGCTGAAAAAGATTCTTAGTAAAATAAAAAAAGACCAAAGATCTTGAAATTCTGACAGCTAGGTTATATTTACTGAATCCATAAATAGGCTCTAACTTATAATTCGTAATTTTCTATAACTGTAACTGGAATGGTTGAAAAAAATAATAAATAGTAAAATTAATATGCAAAACTGTGGGGGAGGAGGGAACTGAATCACTTTTTCTCATCACATGACTCCATGCTTCATCCTCACACATCCAATCCATGCAAATAACTTCTAAGGAAGCATATAATCCTTACCCATCTGTGAAATGGGTGGTAATACATTCTTTTATACGATTTTGATGCAGAAAATTACAGAAATGCCAAAATGACATTGCATGATTTGAAGACTGCCGCAGGCATGTAGGTGGTCTACATTATACATCTAATTGTCTCTAGGCATTGACAGGCCCCAGAGGTAAAAATTCAACTACTGACATGTCTCTTGGAGATATCCCAGACTTTGTTTTTTTATCCCAAAGATATGACTTTTTTGCTTTTCAAAGTAGTTTCAGAGAAAGACACTCAATGGTTCTAACACCTTAAATTATATGTATACCTTTCCCTTCAGAGAACTTTCCAATTTTAATTTGTAAAATCTTATCAATTCCAATAACATTCCCATCAACGGTCAAAGGATGCATGGAAAATATACTGGCCTTCTGTCTCTAGAGAAATACTACATGCAAGGACCACTGGACACAAAGTCTCTCCTTGCATGATCTGCTACCTAAGTACCAAAAAGTACTAAACTCTTCATCCCATGAGAAATATCAGTAATGTAATTAATTCACTCATAATTCATGTGACTGATGTACATACCTTGTTCTTTTTTTGATATACCTGCAAATTTGATGGTACCTTTTTCTGACATTATTTGCCCTCAGTTTTATGTGCTTCCTACTACTTGACCATTTCAGCTATTTAGCAGCAAAGTTGGCAAACAAAAGGTGTTGATGACACACAGATGCCAAATAATACATTATGACCAGGTATAAAGCTTCTCCTTTATTCAACTTTATTTCATGAGACACACTATGGATTATTATTATAAATCATTGATATAAAGGAACTTGACCAAAATATCCATTTGACATATGGGTTGGAGGGACTGAAAGGTCCCAGAAATCAATCCAATCTCCTAAGTGCTGCATGGTGATAAATTAAACACCCATTAATTATTTACAAACTTGCTCTCATTGAGACAACACAGCCAACTTTTCACACTACCTTTTCAGGATGTGAAGAGAAAGGGTAACAATTTAAGGATCAAACCCTAACACAATGTGTTTTCACAATTGATTTACAATATTATACATCATTAAATCACTTCTTCCTATAGAAAAACAAATGCATGGTTTTAGCATGCATTCTTAAAACTACACAGTATTTCATATACAAATACACCTGCCATTATATACCAAATATATTAATTAATGACCATAAGATATTGGATATCAACCTAGGCACTTTTTCCTATAGACCCAATTAAGTAAATAACAATGCCCAACTAATCAACAGATATATACTGATAATATACCATATCTGTATCTTTTGTGGGCTGTAAATCAATAACAACCATGGTCTGTAAAACACACACCAAAAGTCAGTCTTATATATATATATATATATAAGACTGATATATATATATATATATATATATATATATATATATATATATATATATATATATATATATATATATATATGTTAAATGTTGTTGGCTTAACCTGGCACTGTTGCTTTCTTTGCTTAGAGTACCTTAACCTAAAGATAGCTCACAAAACAACCCACTCACTGAACATTCAATTGCCTCATCAACCATCACACTTGATTATTCACTTCTTTAATCATTTATTATCTCATTATCTCACTAATACATCCTCATTGCTCACTCACTTATTGCCCTCAATAGTTTATTTCTTCCTCCATATGTCCACTGTTTCAATTCTTTCATCATGCATTCACTTATTATTTCATTTATCTACCTGCCTACTCAGTTGCTCACTAGCCAGATTATGGGCCAACTTCTTAATTTTCAAATTACTTCATAAGGCAAAGGAAGGCCATAGTAATTATGGACACCAAATCATACATATGTCAAAATGGTGTCCAATAATTCAGTGTAATATTTATAAAATGAGACACTGAAATGTGACCCGAAAACAAACTGATAAACATTCTGCGAGATAGGAAAATATCCATGCAAGACTATAAGCTAGTAGTTGTAATGGGAAATCAATTGACCATCTGAGGAAACACCAAAATGGGACCCTTGAGTTGCAGAAGACCAAAGTGCCACTGCTAGATCCATCATACCTTGCTGTGGCCCTCTATCTCATAATGCAGCTCAATGCCTAGTGAGAGTAGTCCGACTGCTACAGTCAGCAACAGAGAACAGAGTAAAAAATAGCCAAATTAGTAGCAAGGGTCCTGCAGAGTATACCAAGACCTGATTTCAACTGGGTGTAAGTATTGCCACCCCCCTGTGAAGGATACACCCCAGCTGCTGTATGAAACACTGAAAGCTAGCATTCAAACAAGGGCCCCTCAAACAATACCTTCCACTAATAGACTAGGTATTTAACCCCTGCTTCAACCCCAGTGCCGAGTACCAAGTAGGGAAACAACAGGTACCATTAATGAAACACTAGTACATGTATGTCCCAGGATGGGATCGAACCCACATCCGACCACTTTGGAGCCAGAGGCTCTGACCACAAGAACATCAGGTTGGCACATTAAACTGATAACTGGCTCACTGGCATCAGCCATCATCTAAGACAAGTGACAATATAGTCAGCATAAAGATTGCAAAGAAATTTACCAAAGACAAAAATGGTAGAGCTGTCCAAAAAGCTGCCAAATACAAGACGTTGTTTACATTGAGAGACAATGCCACTCTCTTCGTCAGGCCTACCCAACTATCAGACGTGGCACCGAAGGTTCCAAAATTCACCGGTAGATCAGATCACGCTACCAGTTTTCAAGGTGTGTATCAGTATGCATTTCACAGTATCATACCCCAGGGCAAATTTTGAACGACACCCGCAAGCCTATACCAGTCATCTAGGTACCGCGACTCATTTTCAACAAGTAGGAATGGTACTTAGAATACAACAATATGGCAACATCTTGTAACACTAGCAGAAAACTCTCATCATACAAGCTTGCTCCATCAAATGCGTCCATCCCGGTAGCCATGAAAACTTTATTTAACTCCTAACAGGATATATGCTTTCACTGACTGAATTAGATCTACGATACTAAATTCACATTAAAAGATTGCACCTAGTCATTTACATAACATCGTTGATTGTGCTCAAACCTGAACTTGATGTTAAAAAATCACGGTATTGTTCAATTTATTACAGAGAACAGGGAAAATAGCAAGCAGTGCATGAATCTTGATGAGATGCACTATACTTCTAACCCTGCTCAGAATCATCGCAATCACACAGTGTACCAGGCAAGAGGGTGCCGCATCTGATACTTCAAATCCTGTACTGATACACACATTGAAACTGGTAGTGTGATCCAGCCTACTGGTGAATTTTGGATCCTTTGGTGCTGGGTCTGGCAGTTGGGTATAGGCCTGTTCATCATGATCAAAGCCTACAACTTTCTAAGAATTTACGACATTGTCCCATTATCTTGTGTTGCAGGCTGGAAATATCACCATTCACGTGATTATAGTTTAATGGTGGAGGATCGTAATATAGTGCATGCCTGCCATAACTTTGTGTTAAAGCTTATGTTTTATCATCCTTTGTTTGTTTCTTTCTACTGTTATTTCTTTTACAGACCTGTAAACTTTCCTGCTCTAAACAGGTCCTCATGACTGGATACTTCCCAACATCCAGATTCAGACTAAAAAAAATATCCTTATCTATCAGTTTTTCAACTTATGAGAATGACTCTCAGTATTTTTTTTTTTTTTTGTCTTTTGGTCACTATATCAGCTGAGCTTTGACAAATCTGTTTCACAGTGCTATCCAAACAAACACATTTAATCACGTCTTGCATGTGCATCAAAACAGTAGGTTCACATCATGGCTTCATGAAGAAAATAAGACCTCATTCCCACAGATTTTAGATCGATATATCCCTGTGGGGAGTCTCACTATATTACTGTCAGCTTAGCCGGCTTAAGCATCTCTCCTGCCTACTAAAAGCTGTAAGGGGGTAATTAACTACCATGCACGCTCGGCTGACATCAATTTAGCGTGAACCCCCATTGAGTTAGGTCGATCTAGATGGATCGATCTAAATCTATGGGAATGCACTCTAAGAGTGTGGCCATTAAAATTGTGAAGGAAGTTCTTATCAAACAACAAGGCAGCAAAGCTGTCAAATGTACAGACAAAAACCAGAAAAAAATGCAGAAAATAGGATACTGTCAATTCTGATGCACTGATGTATTATGCTTACTGTAAGTGCATAGCCAACATCAAATTCTAATTCTGCATAACAGTGGATTTGGATGAAAGTAAAATGTGTAACAAGCATTAGACTGAGTTCCCATACCTAGATCAATCTAACAGGATCAATCTAACTCCAAGGGGTTTCTCACTAAATTGCTTTCAGCTTAAGCGGCTTAGGATTCTGGCATGCCAGTTTCAGTAGGCGTGACAGACAGCTAAGCCACTTATATTGATTGCAGTTTAGCGAGAATTCCCTTGGAGATAGATCGATCCACAGTTAGCGTGATAGGGTCTGGAAATGGTCCCTAAGGCTTCAGGCTGATAAGAGTTAAAGTTCATACTTTGGAAATGCCAGAATGAGATAAATTTCACAAAAAAAATTGCTTTAACTAATATATATATATATATATATATATATATATATATATATATATATATATATATATATATATATATATATATATATATATATAATTTAATAGAGCTGTTTTTCTAATTTGGGCTGTATGTCAATCCTAAGAATCATTCTTGTAAGTTAAAAAAAATACAGAAAA